TTCTAGGTTTCACATTTAAGTCTTTGATCCATCTGGAGTTTGTTTTTGTGTGTGGTGTGAGGTACAGATCTTGAGAAATGGTATTTTTTAAAAGACATTCTTAATAGACTACAATCTTCAGGTTCAGCGAAGGTAAGCAGCCACGTAAGGGTCTGTCGCCAAAAAAACAGAAACAGGACTAGAAACAGATTCTAATGTCTTCATCTAAGTCCTTTCCACTGTCTCTAGCCATGTCTATGATCAAACAGGTCAAGGTTCGTCTGTGCCTTAGGCTGGGTTCAAGGTGGGGTTTTGGAAAGATGAAATCAAAATAATCATATGTAGTCACATGTAAAGTTGCTGATGTGTTTACACCAGTGCATTTTGGTGGGACAGATGAGCAGACTTCATGTCTCTGAAACCCAAAAATGTTAAACAAACAAAATAAAATCCACTGATCTATCAGATAAAGTTTAAGTAGGTTCAGCTGACATCTAAGGCCATTATTTTCTTTTCTAGTCCTTCTTCTCTATTGGGGGAGTCCTGGGTTCTTCTCCATTGGCCAGAAGGGCCTAATGCCGGATTTCGCCACCTCTCTGCTCTGTCCTGCACAGGGCAGCCTTTCACCCCACTCTGCTGGGTGTCCTTTTCACCCTCACCCAGCAGTACAATGACCACCTTCTCCAGGTGGCCTTCCGATGTCCCAGGAGGGATCCCCTGCCTTCCTTTCACCCTCCTCAAGCCAGGCCTACATTGACATTTTAGAATACAGTTTTTCAAGCTGTTTTTAAACACATGCACTTTTTAATAAAAGAATAAATTGTTTGAGACACCCTGGCCTGTCCCTTTAAGAATAACAAAAGACTCAGTGATCCTCTCATTCAGCTTTCCTCTCCTTGGGTGGCTGGTGGGTTTGAACCTCCAGACTTCTGGTTAGCTACCAGAGCTCCCACAAATAAAGCAAGAACCTGAAAACAGGAATGCTGGCAGAATGTAAATAACAGAATGTAAGCTGCACTAGAATGTAAGGCCTAGCAAATTTTGTTTCAAAGTGTTCTGAGACACAGTAATTCAGGCTACACTCACTCAAAGTAATACTAATGCTAGCTAATTTTATGCCAATCATTGTTCTCACCACTAACTTCTTTAACTTTCACGATAGTCCCACGAAGTAGGTACTACTACTCTCATTCTACACACGTGGAATTAGTGCTACTCGCAAAAGTTTCCTCAATGGCAGAACCAGGGAGTTACCGGTACACAGCAGAAACAGCCCCAAGAAAAAGAAAATAAACTCTGGTTAGAGAGGAAGGAAATAAAGCCGGTCTCCAGCCCGGCACTCGGAGGGTCGGCAGCACTTACCCCATGCTCCCTGCTGTTCCAACCTGCAGCCGTGCGACCTTCGAGCCGGTCTCAAAGCCTACAGAGGTTGCAAAGCCCGCGCAACGTCTGCCAACCCCCGCGCCGCGCAGAGCGACCAATCCAGGCCGAGAACCGTGTGCCCTGTTTTTGTGTTGGACCAGGGCTCTGTCCCGGCCTGGCGTGGGGGTTAGGGGAAAACCTGGCATGGCTAATCATTCGATGAGAAGCTGGAATCCGTTTGTCTTACAAACAGTTGCCAAGGGGCTCCGGAGGCTCAAACTGTTTCCGGGCTTTCCTTCCCACTCGCTCCCTGAAAGTTTTCTTGGGCCCGGAAGCGCCCGTGCCTCTTGGGCCCGCCCCTAGGGGGCGGGAAAAGGATGGGGTTAGTGCCGAATAGTCTGCGGGCTAGCGGAGTTAAGGGGCGGTTCCAAGTACAGATTGGGCGCAGCTGCTGAGGTCCTTTACCTAGTTTGAAGGCCACGCAATGCACTGCGGTGAAGTCCGATCAGACTCATAGCGACCGCTCCTTGGGTTTCCAAGGCGATATCACTACAGAAGTAGATTACCTAACCTCCCTTCAGAGGAGTGGCTATTGGGTTTGAACCGCCAGCCTTAAGGCATTACAAAAAATAAAGACATCTAACTACAAGGCTGCCTCTGATAAGAGATGTGATGTTGACGTTATTTTACCTCTATCTCAGTTTCTTCTTTCGTAAGTGGCTGCAACCTGGGTTCATGAATAGCAGGGATGGTGGAGGTGGCGCAGCCCGGGGGATTGTTTCGTTCAGCTGTACATAGGGTCGCTATGAGTGGAGACCACTCAGGGCACCTAACAACAAGGGCGGAAGGTTCTTTCCGGAGCTAATATTCTCTGATTATTTTATTTCTGTTTAAAAACGTATAACTCACAAAGAGACAGCTCAGGGACAAGAGTGCATGGGAGAGAAGGACACAGGGAAGAGGTAACTATGCGGAGGAAATGGAGGGGAGCTGTTCCACTGTGGTAAATTGTAGTCAATGTCATGAGACAAAGTGTATGTGAGGTGCTGTATGGAAAGTGAATTTGCTCTGTGAACTTTCAAATCACAATTAAAAAAAAAAAAACTTAGAACAATTGGCACGAAAAAATACATAAAAATATTGTTCCATAGCCTACTTTGGTATGTAGTGACTGGGGTCTTAAAAGCTTTTGAGCTTCCATCTAAGATGCAGCTAATGGTCTCCTATCGTACCGGGAGAAGAGTGAAGAAAACCTAGGGCATTTGTAAACAATCAACCCTAGGACATGATGGACCTCGAGACCAGAAGAACTAGATGATGCCTGGCTACCAATGCCAGCCGCTTGGAAAGGGATTAAAACTGGAGATCCTGGATAGAGTGGGAGAGAAATGTGAAACAAAATCCAAAATTATAATAAAGACCAGAATTACTGGTTGGATGGAGTCTGGTGGGACCTGTCCCCCGCTCCCCCAAAGACTATGGCCCTGAGATACACTTCAGGCCCAGGATAAAACTCACTCCCCAAGAGCTGGCTCTCAGCCCAACAGTAAATAAGACTTACATGCAGAACACTCAACTCAAGCCGATGGACCCACTTTCTCTACAGAGATATGTCCCTTGGAGCAATCAGCCATGGGGCACCAGAGTGGCAACATTCACACAGAGGAAAAGCTGGACAGACAGGAGTGCATAACTAAAAAGGGCATGGGGGACGGGTCACTGGGAAGGGAGAGGAAGAGAGTGGGTGAGGGTTGGGGATGGTAATATGGGAGTGAAACCAAATATACACAAACTGTTGAATGTAAAACAAATTCAGTTCCATAAATTTTCACCTAAAGCACAATAATAAAAAAAATTTTGAAAAATAAAAACTTAGAAACTGTTTCACCTACAAAGTTCATCAAAGAAAAAGTAGCGGAAACTTAGAGGCCCTAATTTGTAGCATAGACTATCAAGCAGAACCCAAAATGCACAAACAGCAGAAGATACACTAGATGTATGGGACTTTCTAAAAATTAAATTTTTATGTGTTTCAAAAGACTTTTCCAAAAGAGTGAAAAGAGAACCTACAGATTGGGGAAAAAAAAATATCTGACAATGACATATCTGACAAGGGACCTTTCTCTAAAATTTATTTAAAAAAAAAAACTCCCACACCTCAATATCATCAAAATAATCCAATTTTTTAAATGGGCAGAAGACATGGACACTTCACCAAAGAAGATATTTAGGTGGCCAACAAACACATGAAGAAATGTTCATGATCATTGGCTATTAGAGAATGCAAATCAAAACAACAATGAGATACCATCTCACCCCAGCACTAATAGCAAAGTTCAACAAGACGGAAAATAACAAATGCTGGTGAGGATATGGAGAGATTGGGACTCTCATACAATTCTGGTGGGACTGTAAAATGATAAAACCACTATGGAAAGCAGTATGGCGATTTCTTAAAAAGCTGGAAGTAGAAATACCATTTGACCCAGCAATTTCATTACTGGGTATATATCCTAAAGACAGGAGAGCCAGGACACAAATAGATTTTTGCACACCCATGTTCATCACAGCACTATTCACAACTGCAAAGAGATGGAAACAACCTAAGTGCCCATCAGCTGAGAAATGGATAACCAAACTGTGGTACAGACAGACAATGAAATACTAAGCAACACTGCGGTGTAGTAAATTACCTGGTATGGCTTTTCTAGCCATATGTCTTTGTAAATCCTGTGGTAGAATTTGCTGTGAGCAACCAAGGAGCTCCTGATTGTAAAAGTTATCCACCTGGGGTATTTCTGTTGGGCACAACACAAAGCAATGTTCTGGGAGGTTCCCACTCTCTTTCAGGTGCTTAGAATTCTGATGTTACGATTGGTTGGTTTGGCCACTGCTGGGCTCAAAAGGAGGCCTCCTAGGGGCAGAACTCTCTCTCTCTGACCTCTGCTGAGGAAGACGTGTTGCTGAGAAAGAGACACCGAAAGACATGCATGGCTGGGAGAGAGACTGTTGGGTGAGAGACGGTGGGCTGGGAGAGAAACTGAACGTTGTTCCTGAACTTGAATTGTAGCCTGGTGCTTTCCTAATAAACCCCATAATCTGTGAGTTCTGTGTGGCCACTACAGTGAATTATCAAACCCAGCAGAAAGGTGGTGAGTGCTGTGGGAGGAACGGTTGGTGTCGGAGTTGGTGAAAGGGCTGGGGAGGGAGGAAGCATGTCTGGCCTCATAGTAATGGGCCTCAGGCTACTGATAGTGCTTCTGTTTTCCTCTTGTGCAGTTAGAAGAGGTCAGAAGATGTGGCCTCCTTGCCTTTTTAGCAAACACTAAAGAATAATGAGGGAGTTCCGGCAAGATGGCAGACTAGGCAGAAGGACTGCACAGACCCTCTTCAACAAAGAAAAGGGAAACCAATTAACACAGACACAGAAGATAATCTTGGACCCCTGAGCCTTGAAGGGAAG